AACCACTCCACCCACCACCAAGATATCACCCTTTTTCCCACACAGACTATGTACATTGTGCTCTATGTGCCCTCCCAGGGTGAGGGACAGTGGGATGGAGGCACTTACAGGGCAGATCGAGGGGACAGGTGCCTAGCATTGCAGCCTCTGACTGCACCACGCAAGTGCACAAGCTGCAACGAGGCTGGCAGGCAGGGAGCTCACCCAGGGGTGAGGCAAGCTGCTGCTCTGCCAGCATGGCTGGCTCTCCCTCCTGCAGCATGAGGGCCAGCACCGTACCTAGACTCCTAGCAGACTCGGGCAAACTTTTACTATTGAGCCCCCCTTTACCAAAGATAATTTCACCATTTTCAGGCTCCCTTTCTATCCAGGCCCTGGGCGGCCACCTGGTTCGCCCATGCCTGTTTCTGGCCCTCCCTGAGGCCCAGGCCAGCAGGACCAACATGCAGTGCACCCCTACTCTGCTCATTCAGCTTTGAGAGGCGCATTTAAACACACAAAAGGAAAACAATCATCCCAGCACTTGAATGTTATTATAAGTATTCAACATGGCTGGCAAAAAGCAAAGATTCTGTAAGTGAACTGAAGATTGACACTGGGAACTATATCCTGTGCATCTAAAAACTTAATGTTCACTCTCCAGACAATTATGCAATTGCCTAATGATTATACTCATTGCCCAACATGCATAAGGGAGAAAAAGCCAAATTGTTCAGCATAGTTGCCTAACAAACCAAGGCATGACTAAGCACACCCTCCACCCCTACTGCTGCTGAAGGTGCCCTGTGGGCAGTCAAGGGAGGAAAAGCCATAGGGTCTGTTATGTACTGAGTATTATGTATATCTTCTATGCAGTTATCTGTAGGTGGTACTAATACTCATGGTGTTTATCATCTGGCAGCTATTTTGCTTGGAAGCCTTCAGTTTGTTTTGTATAATAAAGGTGGCTGCCTTGAAAAACATTAAACCAGCAATGGGAACATAATCCCAGTGAGGAGGATGCTTCCAGTGCTTCATCCTGAACTGGGAATTCCAAGGGACCCTGCACTGCCTAGGGAGCCCAGACCAGGAGGGGTTCATCCTCTGTATTGGTTGCTCAATGTGGCTTCTCTCCCTTGATGGCAATCTTGGGCCTGGAAGTGTTTGATGTGGTGAGGCCATTGTCCTTGAAGTCCTACAGGGCATTTATACACATACTTTTTTCCCTGTGATGTGCTGGAGATCCGCTGCTTCAGAGCAGACTCAATTAATCAAGTCTGCTCTGCATGCAAGCTGAGGCAAACTGTGCTGCACCATGTTCAGTTGTATAAGCAGCAAAATGTGCATCAGGGTGCAGAAAATGGTGGCAGTGCGCTTTTGAACTAAAGCACCTCCGAGGTGCTTTAGTTCAAAAGCATGCCACTGCCATTTTTTCAGTGCTGACACGCATTTCATCGCTTATACAACTGCAAGTGTTTCAGCACCAAACACTTTTTAAAGTGCACAGTGCTTCAGCGTTTGTATATGTAAAAATGCCCAAAGTGACTGGTTTGTCTTTGCCCTCAAAGCCAATCAGCTCATGGAGGCAAAAGAAAGACTTGCTGTGCTACTGACATAGTTCGACATCGTTTGCTCACTTGTGAGCCCCTGCCAAACCCTGTGACAAGTCCTATAATCAAATCATCAAGCTACTTAAAAAATCATTTCACACCAACTCCATTTAAACCAGTGAGATGGTTCAATTTCAATCACTGCTAACAGCTGCCAGGGTTGTATCATACATAGCTGAGTTGCATCATCTGTCTGGGGACTATAATTTTGGTACCAGTCTTGAGCCTCTATTGAGGGATTTACTCATGTGTTGGGTTTCAGGTGAGGCTCGACAATGTGGATTCCCTGTGAAACAAAACTTGACTTTTGCCATGAAGCAAAATGAAGGCTGCAACTCTCCATTCAAAGGAAATCCAAGCATCACCCACAAAAATTATATAAACTGAGACCCACCAAATGCAATCTAAAAGGAATTCTCCAAAAAAGTCACCAACAGTTGACAAGAAAATTAATTCGTCATCCCTGGAAAACTACTATAGTTGTGGTAAGAGTCAGAGATGCAAGACATGTCATTTCCATGATGCTGAATGCCATCATTCCAAGCACTGAGCGTGTGTCCTAAGAAATTCAAGCCACCCAGAAAGAAATCAAAAAAGGGTATGCCTCTGGTGGCCATAAATACTGTTGCTGATCTGAATCAAATTTCAGCCTCTGGAACATTCACAGGTGTTACAGCATTGGGCTTATCGATAGTGGGGAATCACCACCCATATGGTAGAAGACCTGCACTACAGTAATGCTCCAAGATGTTCTGTTTGTCATGGAAGTAAACTCAGGATCTGAGTTTGCCTTAATAAGAGACATAAGAACTACTGTGGCATAAAACCCATCTGGCCTAAACAGGTAAAGAACTATGCTAATTAGGAGGGAGGGGGGTTATTTACTGCATACTACAAACACCCCCCCCCCCCCCCCCTGTATTTTCTCTGTTATACTATACTCTCAAATAAGATACCTTGTTTTTGGAAGGCAGAATGTAGAAAAAAAAGATTTTTTCCAGAATTGTGGCCAACTGTGTGACATAGAGAAAGCCCTCTAGGAAACAGAGTATGTCCAGGATGTGTGGCATGTTCACACAACACATGGTATCTCAGTGCCAGATCAGTATAAAGTGCAGAGCACAGCATTAAGCACCCTTTTCCATTTACTCTTGAATATGGCAAGCAGTGGTGCAACTTAATGGCTAGAAAGCTGGGGACCTGTGTTCTAGGTCTCCTCAAGTTGAGGGGTCTCAATGCCTCCTCTCCCACTCCCGAGGAGAGTATACCAATATCCCAGGCTATAAAACAGGCTGCCTGAAACCATGCTCCACCCCACCTACACAACTCTCTTTCAGACTCTGTCTCTTGGTTCATCATCTCTGTTCAAAGAAGACTTGTCTTCTCCTTCAGGCAGACATATTCTCCTCACAATGCACTCTCAAGGAGAGGGAGAAAAAAATAGTTAATTTTACAATCAGAAGATGTCAGAGCTAAGGAGGGGACTGGTTTATTTTCCATCCAAAGAGTCTAGTCTTTACAGTCTAAACATTTCCGCGGTGCATGCAGATGCTTAGGTGTCTCTGCTGTGCCTGATATGGGAATGTAAACAGGCTGTAAGTTAATAAGTTTTAACCAGACTGCCACAAGCTCCTTTTAAATGTGCTTCATGGTGATGTGCAATATTCGAACTATTAAGTGTGCAAACATCTACACACAATTCACAATATAAACACAATGATTTCAAATAAAATAAATAGTGCCAAAAACATTCTGACTGGTCTTTCTCAGCTCTTTGCAACACAAGAACTGTTCTGTTATTTTTCTGTGGTCAAAAACCTAGTGAAAGCTAAGAGTGACATTTTCTGAAGGATGCCTTTAGTTTAATTAAGGGTGCCTTGAATCTCATGAGGTTGAGAGTCACTGCTCTAAATAGCGCCTTTCACTATGCATATATTTTCTCTTTTGTAACTTAGACATCATAGGAAAGTAGGGCTGGGACAGACCTCACAGAGTCATCAAGTCCAGACCCCACTTAAGTCAGGATCATCCCTGACTAAATCAGCCCAGTCAAATGTCTGTCTAACCTACTTCTGAACGTTTCCAAACATGAAGATCCCACAACTTCTCTAGGTCACCTGTTCCAATGCTTGGCCACCCTCATAGTCAGAAAGTTCCTTCTAATCACCAACTTAACTTTCCCCTTCTCCACCTTGAGGCCATTGATCCTAGCCCTGTCCCCTACAGCCACAAAGAAAAGCCCATCCACTTTATAATCATCCTATAGGTATTTCAAGACTTAGCAAATCCCCCCTCAGTCTTTTCTTCTCCAGACTAAATAACCCTAGCTCTTTCAGTCTTTTCCTACACATCTTGTCTTTCAGGCCCTTAATCATTTTCGTTGCTCTGTGCTGGACTCTTTCTAAACTGTTCCCATCCTTCTTAGAGGGTAGGACCCAAAACTGAACACAGTATTCCAGGTGAGGCCTCATGAGTGCTGAATAAAGCAGAAGAATCACTTCCCTTGATTTGCAAGTGACACTCCTGTTAATACAACTCAGTATGCTGTTGTCCTTTGTTGGCAACAAGAGAACACTGTTGGCTCATATTCATCTCATGGCTCACTGTAACCCCCCAGGTCCTTCATTGCAGTACTACAGCCTAGCCATTCATTCCCCAGTTCTGTATTGTTCATGTAGCTATTCCATCCCAAGTTCAGGCCCGTGCTTGTCCTTGCTGAGTCTCATTTGATTGATTGTGGACTAGGGGTGCTGCCTTGTCTCTTCCTTATTCTTCTCGTTTCTAGAGGGAAACCAAAAGTGACTGAGAGAGAGGTCATTCGATTCAGGAAAGATTGAGGTCAGACATTTTTACACAGGACCCTCTCTCTTTTTATTGAAGGAGGGGAAAAGTGATATAAGTACCAAAGTGAATAGTGGCAGGGAGCTCAGAGCAGGTGCCAGATCTCAGTCCAGAGATGGTCCAAAGTGAGATGGCAATTAGTGAGCACAAATGATGGAATGACTTGAAAGGAAAAGGCCCTGTTCTTATTTTGCCACTGGACCTGCAGGCCTTATTGGGTATTTGGATATCATTGTGCCAAATGCTGTATACACTTTTGTCTACACATCTTCTCACTTCAGCAACCAGGACATCAGGGCCCTCATTACTCAAGTACTTTAAGAACTGCAAAGAGAAGTGACTAGTAAGTCTAAATGATGGGTTTTAGGAGTAGGCATTTCTTTCCATTTCAACTTCAAAACCTGCAAGGACTTCAGTAGGAAAAGATAGCAAAAATCAAAGGTTTCACCATTGACAATTTCACAATCACCCTTAAAACAGCAAGTTCCTTGTTTTAAGTCTGGCATGGGTTTTCCATTTAGTCCCAGCTGATATATTGAGACAGTAATCATTCTCCCTGGTGTTGCAAGACAGTCAGAGTGTCTGTGACCTGCCATCAGTTAATAACTCAGGGAAGCACCATGGAGGGTTGCAGATGCAGGACGAAGAGGGATACACCACTTTAAATTTCCTGACCCAAGTTCCAGCCTCTGCCTGTGGACATCCAGACAGACATAAAGGTATGGTCTCTTCTGCAATTTTGGCTGGACTTTCTCTGCCCTTTGCTAACAGGCCTCTGTTTCCCTGTGTCTGCTGTTCTGCCTTACGTTTCACCTGCCATTAGTATCTTCTTCCACTTCTCACTTCGCCTTCTCAGAGGTGTAACAAAGCAGCCGGGTGCCCAGGACAACTGCCACACAAAGGGGCAGTGACAAATTCTGGTTGCTGTTGTGCCACTGGTACAATTATGCAGCTGCAACAGCAGTAATTTCTTTCCACTTCCTCGCCAAGATGGCACATGGGGTGAATGTCTTGGGCACCACACCCGAGTTACACCACTGCCGCTTCTCACCACTCCTTGCATTGAGCTAATCCTACTTCACCAATCCTCTGCCCTCACAAAACAGCATGAGATTAAGTTTTGTGACTATCACCCAGACTGCTCTGCTTGACCAATAACTCTTCCTATCAATAATACTTCCTACTTCTGGCCATTTCCTTGTGAAATGTAGATGTAACCACTGTCCTCATAGGTGGATAGAGAAAAAATACTTGGGGTGGTTGAGCGCACCCTGATTATTTTTAGTCACTATGTTGCCATTGCAAAGTGCCATATAAACAGAGCACATTGCTATGGTGAAGTAGCAGCAGTGTCATGGTTTTTGTCCACAGATGCTACATCACTGTAGTGTGTTGCTCCGGTGATGTAGCGTCACATGTACATGCTCCTAGTAAGGGGTTTTGGGTAGGTACTAGAGCTGTGCGAAATGTCGCTACCAGTTTTGTTTCGATGCTGTTTTGATCTGTTTTGAGGTCCAAACAGCAACATTGAAATGAAACAGATATGGTTGAAACAGCCTCAAAATGAAATGAGGCAAGTTGAAACATTTCGCTGTTTCAACGTTGTTTCGATGTTTTTCCCATAGGCTCTAATGGGGAAGGTCAAAACAGCCTATAACTTTATCATTTCTAGCCAGATTTGGATAAAACTTGCTGGAATGGTAGCCCCTTCTGAGGGCATGATGTGTGCCAAGTTTAAAAGAGATAGGTGCAGGGAATTTGGAGAAACTGCACCCCAAAATCTTGAGAGCAAAACTCATGTCACGTGTATGTGCTAAGCCACAGTGGCCATTATATCCTATGGGCAAAACAAAACAACAGTCGAAACAAAACACCGTTCTGTTGAAACGTTGGTCAAAATGAAGCACTTCTGTTTCGCACAGCCCTAGTAGGTACCTACTCATGTGGGGATTAGGTAGAAGATTTGCACCCAGTTCCCTGCAGCCCTGCAATGTGCCCATGTAACCACCCGGGGGGAGCTGCAGGCTCCACCAGGTACTAGCCCAGAGCCTGGCTGGTGCTGCTGGGGTGGGGACAATGTCCCCCTGCCCCTGAAGCAGGGAGTTCCTCCCTGGCTCTCCAACGACGGAGACAGGGCTTGGAAAGAGCTGCAGGGGAGGGGGTCCCACCCCCCTGCCATGATCTGCAAGTGAGGCAGTTAGCAGATAGCTCACTTCTAGCTAACCCACCGGCAGATCAGGGCGGGGGCATTGGGACCTGCCCCACCCCTGCAGCTCTTTCTAAGCCTTGTGTCTTGATCACCTGATTGGGGCACAGGGCTGGGACCTGCTCCGGACTGGGACAGTGCCCAGACTGCATGGAGAAGTCTGCATGTGCAGCCCAGAGTAGGCTGAGGATTGCCTGAAACTGGACAGTTCCTAGCCACCTCCAAGCTACACATGCTTCCCTGTGCAGCCTGGGGCTGGCTGGGAACTGTTCTGGTCAGGGGCAGGTCCCAGCCAGCTCCAGGCTAGGTAAGGCACTGTCCCCATGCAAGGAGCTCCCAGCCCCTGCTCCATGATCACAACTGCAAACACAGAGTTGGGGCTGGAGATCTTGTTCCCTGCCCAGCTCTGTGAGCAAAGAGCTGGGGAGTAACAGGCTGGGGAGTTTGTTTTCCCCTGAGCTCCATTCTTGAGGAGCTGGGCAAGCAAAGTCTCCCCAGCCCCCACCAGCAGGGAGCTGCCAGCACTGGCTCCTGCAACCACAAAGCCACTGATGGGAGATAAGCATCTCCCAGCCTGAGTCCCAGGGTCATGGGTCTCAGGCTGGGAGATAAGGGCCTCCCAGCTCGAGCACCACAACAATGGTGCTAGTCCCCACTCCCTGATTGTGTTGGCAGAGCGGGGGCCTCCCCGATCATGATCTGGGAGCAGGGGACTTGGAGCTCCCTGTTGCCAGGGCAGGGGGACACAGTCCTTTCCTAGGCTCCTGTGCCAGAGCCTACCCCAGCAGCAGGCAGCTCCTGGGGGAAGGGAGCTATCTCTCTCCCCTGGTGGAGCAGATTTGGCTCCCAGCCAGGCATCTACACAAGTGCTATGGTTACTAATGCCAAGTAAATTTGCTACTTGCATTTTCAGATAACAAATGTACTCATGATTAGGGAGATTTAATGTGAAGTATGCATGTGCACATGTACACACACATGCTTACTTCACAGTAAACTATCCTAATTCACCGTTAAGTGTCTCACGTAGACATGCCTGGAATACTCCATTGCTCAAAAAACATTTGTCAGTCAAGAGAAACAATAGTTTTCAAAGGGCATTGCAGATGAGTGATTTCCAAGCCTTCTTTTCTGACCAACGATTTGTTTCTCTCAGGGTTGTCTGCACTCTCCCCTGTCTGGGGTCCAGTTGCTCTGACTTTGTCTGTGCTATGCCTGGCACTCTTCCTAGGCCTTATGGCCCTGCTAGTTGTCTGTAAGTACTGGAATATCCATTTTGTTTCTCAGGTTAAGAAATCCCACCAAATGTGATGGGTGTGGGTTTGGTTCTTTCTGACTCATACCTCATTAACTCAGTCATTAGGTCCTGGCTGTAGAATTATATTCCTACCTTCACAGAGTCACCTTTTGGTGCCACATGTTACATACAGATATTTCCTGATCAAGAAAGGAAACTACTGCTTCCCTCAGAATTGACAGCCCCTCATGAATCCATTCCAGAGCCTATTTATAAATCTCTCCCACATTCCAGGCAATAAACCCTGGCTTTCTCCAGTCAATGAACCCTTTTTTGAGCTTTGCCTGAAAATTAATGAGCCCTGAATGTACCCATGAGATTCTGAATATACATCATGGCATTGTCTTTTACCTTCTAACCATTCTATGATTACGTTTCTTCTTGATCTGTGGGAAAATATTTTACTCTGATGTTTGTCATTGCATGGATGTCAATACATTTAATTGTTACTGAGTTGCATCAAATCACAGTGCTGCTGCAGCATTTTGTGCAGATGGTAATAACAGACAACGGTATTACCACAGTGGGCAGGTCTACATGAAATGCTTGCTGCGCATCAGTCAAGTAACACTGTGCAGTAGCACGCTGAAGTAAAACCAAGCTAATAACTGACTGCACGGTATTATTAGGCTAATGCACAGTAAGTACCACTAAATAACTGTGCACCTCTGCTAATGTGCAGTAACTCTAGGTATTGCACATTTAGTTAGTCCTTTAGGAAATAGTAATCGAAATACTTAGTATCTCAAGTGCATTAATGAACATATAGATGTGCCCACTGGTCAGATGTGACCTGATGAAGAATGCACTGTGTTCAAAAGCTTGCCTAACTTTATTCCAACCAGGTATTTGATCCAGTAAGATACCACCCTCCAAAGATCTCTCTCTCTCATCAAATGTGAAAGCATATTACCTCACTAAGATAACTGCACCTACTGCACATCATCCTCTTCTCTAAAATGTACTTTTGGAAATCAAGGGACATGTCTACACAACATGATTAACTTCACATTAGCATAGTTTACTGCAAAGTAAGTGTGTGCATCTACATGTGCACATGTTTACTTCTCAGTAAAACTCCCTAGTGCCTAGTAAATTTGCTACCTGAAAATGCAAGTAGAAAATTTACTTGGCATTAGTAACGGCACCATAGTGCTCATGTAGACACCTGGCCATGAGCCAAATCTGCTAACTTCCCTTGGGAGCTGCCTGCTGCTGGGGCAGGCCCTGCCACAGGAGCCCAAGCAGGAACTATGTCTCCCTGCCCTGGCAGCGGGGAGCTCCAAGCCCTCTGCTCCCAGATCATAGGGTTGTCTGCAAGCACAGAGCTGGGGGTGGGGGGAGGGGGGACACAGGCTGGGGAGCTTGTTTCCACTCACCACAGGTCCGCACTCATGGAATTGGGTGGGGAGCAGTGTCTCTAGGCCCTAACTGGGATAGTTCCCAGCCAGAAAATCATGTACAGCCTGGAGTTGGCTGGAGACTGTTCTGTTTCCAGCAGTCCTCAGCCAGCTCCGGGCTGCAAATGCAGACTTCCCCACGCAGCCTGGGACTGGCTGGGAACTGCCCTGGTCAGAGGCAGTTCCCAGTCTTGTTCCCTGATCAGGTGATTGAGGCATTGGTCTTGGAAAGAGCTGCAGGTGTGGTGTAGGTCCCAGCCCCTTGCCCCAATCTGCTGGTGGGTCACCTACCATTGAATTAGCCGCTAGCTGCCCCACTTGCAGATCATGGAAGGGAGCTGGGACCTTCCCCTCCCCTGCAGCTTTTTCCAAGCCCCATGACCCTGATCAGGGAGCCAGGGTCAGGACTTCCCTGCTGGCAGGGCAGGGGGACATGGCCCCTACCCCAACAGCAGGCAGCCTCCCTGGGGCCAGGAGACAGCCCCCTCCTGTCCCGATCTCGCATCCAGGGGGAGCATGGAGCTCTCCCCAGTGGCCACAGGGGTGCATTGCATGGCTGCAAGGAACTGGGTGCAAATCTTCTCCCTAATCCTCACATGTATAGATGCTTGCCCCAAAACTCTTACTCTGGTTTATTTTACATCAGAGTAAATCTGGACCAAAGTAAATGGATGTGTAGATGCACCCAAGGTCTACATTCTGATGTGTACACAGATTGCTTGCATTTGTCATCACACAAACACACACCTTGGACAAATCAAAGAAAAGAAAACAGCAGCAGTTGTAAGACCTGAATTTTTAAGAGTTAATGAAGGGTATTTCTGTACAATTCAGTTTTTCAGACTCCCAGGCCCTTTGAGGAAGCTACTGAAAACCCCACTTCATACCAAGGACATTTGCAAGGCATCAAGAGCCACTTGTCAAGTAGCCTGCAAGAAATGAGAGACAGCTTGTGTCTGGAAGGGATGATTAAGAATACGAATAAGAATAAAAATAATGGTAAATGGGTTTGTCATTCATAAGAACAGGTGTCCTTTATCTCCCCATGGGTACAAGGTGGACACTGTCCATACAGTAGATCCCACAAGTCTCAATCCAGCCCTTGTCTTCCTCACTGTAGTGGTTAGTCAATATCTGATGTGATGCTGGGCAACACACTTCAGTTCTACACTCAAAGGAAGCACCTTTGTGTTTTAAAGAAATTAGTTCACTTTTGAGGATCACTTTAGTTCTTGCCTTCTAATGGGGCAGATAAAATCATGCCATTTATGATTATGACTGTGTGATATTGATATCTGGCCCCTAAGAACTGTACTTGGCAATGTTTTTAGCCCAGGTTCTAGAACATCCTGTAAACTGTCTTAGTGATGCTAAGTGTGGAAGGTCTAGTACCCTGGGGCACAGAGGGGACGTAGGTAAGTGGGGCAGAAGGCTGGAAGAAGTTGCATGGCTAGCTTCAGTTTAGCAGAAGTGAGAAGTAACACCTTCTTCCAAGTCAGTACCAGTTACTGCAACTGGTACCAAGTACCAGTTGCTTCGTACTGGTGATTTATATATTGTCTGTGTTTTGGCTCCTTCCCCACTATCTGGTATAGCATTACAATGTTTAATAGGGAACCCTAGCCCTGTTGTTAGGAGGCAGGGTGGCCCTTTAAGACCAGAGTCTAGAAAAACCAAGTACCAAGAGGGCAGGGGTTAAAAGCCCAACCACACAGGTCAGTCAGCTGACTGGAAGGAGATAGGGCTTGGGCATGTATAAGCCCCAGGCTGAGGCTGGCAGGAGTTAGTTTTCTGGCAAGGTGCCAGGGGAAGGAGCTCCTGCAGGGAAGAATGACCCAGAAATACTGTGGCTGCTGGATAGACTGTTTACATGGCTAATGAGGCTCCAGAAGTCTACAAGGTACCCAGGGCTGGGAGGCATTCAATACTCAAGGAGCAGTTTGGGGTTTTAAAGAGGCAGAGTGTGGCTTGCATTACTCATATTCTGTTATAGCCCAAGGATTCATATTTATGTTGTTGTTTTTAACTTGTGGACCGGGCTGCGGCTATTGGAGAGAACAAGGCCTCATGGCGGGTCACACTACAGTATAGAGCCCCAGTGCCAGAGAGGGTGCAGGGACAGGGCTGCAGCAAGCCCAGCACCAGCGAGGGTGTAGAGACAGGACTGCAGCAAGCCTGAGGCCGCTTAAGGCCAAAGCAGAATTAAAAGTGCTAGTATTTACATACCATCTGTGAGGCATGGGCCACCCTGTAGGGGAGGTTTGGAGCAGTGGATAGTGACCCCTGGTGTTGGAATAGTAAATGGGCAGCCTCCCACCTCAGTAACATCATAATCATTGTTCCATCAAGGCATGGCAGGAAAGAAAGGTGGGCAGTTAGCCCAGAAACAGAGGGTCGGGCCAACATTGGACAGGCCCGGGGATGGCCCCCTTTCACACTATGACAGCGGAATCTTTACTACTTGTCCCAGGACAATTCTTCTGTCATCATTTGTCACTTCCAGTATTTCTATTTTAAAACAATTCTATGGACTAATAAAACAGTCAGCTTTTGATAAGACCCTAAATTGTGTCACATGTCCTTCTGGCACGATTGTTACTGCACTGTCATTTAGTTCTTCCTTTTGGAAGTACTAAATGATGGCGTGGTGAGAGCCAATACTGCACCATCTGCATAGCATATGGTTATTTTTTAGCCGCTTTGTCACCATAGTGATGTGCTATACCGAGGGAGCACATCACTACGGTGACGTAGCTGTGGAGTCAAGGTTTTTGCCCACCAACACTACGTTACTGTAGCCCATTCCTACAGTGACGTAATGTCTCATATAGATGTACCCACTGTTTATCAAATGGTGTCCTGAGCACCACAGAACTCAGTTACAGTGTTTGGGCAAAGCACTGGAAGAAAGCCAAAAAGCGTTGTCGACACAGAAAAGGATTAGGACTAGAATGTAGTCTGGTATTCTCTAATGCACAATTGTTTATAAGAAAATTAATTATGCTGGTACTTTCTTTCTCTCTTTTCCAGAAGTGACTTGTACACTGTGCCCTGCTAACTGGAAGTGGGAGGAAGATAATTCCTGTTACTACGTTTCTACACAGCTGAGTACATGGGAGCAGAGTCAGAGGTTCTGTGCCTCAAAAAATTCCACCCTTAGATTCATAGATTCATAGATGTTAGGGTCGGAAGGGACCTCAATAGATCATCGAGTCCGACCCCCTGCATAGGCAGGAAA